ATAGACTGATAACTCAGAAGGGTAGAATTAGTAGCCCAGAATACGTTAGAGTCTTTAAAGTCTGACTTTAGAGTCAAATGATTCCTTCTCCCACCCACCCTGTGTGCTTGGGATCAAACTTACGGTTTCACACAAACTGGGCAAGAACTCTTCCCAACCCTACTCAAGAGATTTTGGACTGAATTGCCAAGATAATTAACTAGGTAACGTATCTTTTTCTTTTTTAAAATTTATTTTTATTTTTATTTTATGTGCATGGGTATCTTGCCTACATGTATGTCTGTGTGAGGGTGTCAGATCTTGGAGTTACAGACAGTTGTGGGTGCTGGGAATTAAACCCGTGTCCTCTGGAAGGGCAGCCAGTGCTCTTAACTGCTGAGCCATCTCTCCAGCTCCAAGCTCTGGTAACATATTTTTTTTTAAACAAATATTCTGGGGCAATTGAATACACATGTGCACAAAAGAAAAAAAACCTTACTTTCTTTTTACTTTACATTAATCTAAAATGCATCAAAGACCGAAATATAAAATTTCTTAAAGAAAACGCAGGAGGAAATTCCTGTCACCTTGGATTAGGCAAAGATTTTTTTAAATGATCCATAAATGAATGTGGACTTCATCAAAATGAAATCTTAAAAAATAGTGCATAGGCTGTTAGAAAAACCTCACAAGCCAGAAGAAAATATTTGCATGTCTGATGTAAATAGTATCCAGAATATATAAAAAGTCTTTACAAACCAACAACAAGATCTTAAAAAAAATTGGCATGGATTTGAGTAGGCATTTCACCAAAGAAGATTCCTAAGCAACTAATAAAACATGAAGAGAGAATCCTCCGGAGTCATCAGGGAACTGCAGAGGGAGTTAGGGAAGTTTTGATTTATATGTGTTATAAAGGGTTAGTAAAGAAGACTAATAACAATAGGTAGAAATATAAAATAGTATGGACACTTGGGAAAACAATCTGTACTACACTGTGCATCTCAAGGTAGCCTTGAACTCATGATTTTCTTGCCTCAGCATCCCAAGTCCTGGTACCACAGGCATACAATGCCAAATCCCACTTGTGGCTCATTGAAAGGTTACATATAATATGAACTTTAAAATAAACATTTAAAAAGTTAAGCAGTTGCTATTCCATCTAACATTTCCACTTCTAGAAGCGAGCGAAGGGTGAAAGTAATTGCCCACATAGTTATTTATAGGGAAATGTTCAAAGTCATATTGGTCAGGGTAACCCAACCCCGGAGACAAAGGGAGCATCCATCATACAGTGAATGGGAAATAAAATGTGATGCATCTGCAGAATAGAGCACTTGTCAGCAACAAAAAGGAACTAACTTCCGGGGCACGCTAACAAACCAGCCTCAGAAACAGGCTAGATAAAAGAAGATAGTGAAGATTATCCACGGCATGAGCCCGTGTATATGGACTCTACAGAGCCTGAAAACGTCAGCGGCAGGCTAGCAGGGACAGGAAACTCATTCCAACAAGGGGATAACTCTTGCAACAAAGAGCTATTTTAGTATTAGACCGTGGTGATGTTTGCACAAAGGTGAAACTCCACTAGAAAGTTCTGCTGCACTGTCACATGGGTGGATTTTATCTGTCCACCGTCTCAGCGCATTGTTAAAGAGTGTTATCTTAATCAACCTAAAGATTACCCTCTCCTTTAAATGCACTGGCACAGAAATCATATAATTCCTTCCTCCATAGAACAACACCACACTTCTTTGTTCTCCACATCACATACTCTCTATGTTGCCAACCATTTTGCACGGTATTTTGACTTTCCCTCTCTGTAAGATTTCAGGGTGTCTTTTTTAAAAACTTTATTTATTTGGTTGGTTGGTGTGTGTGTGTGTGTGTGTGTGTGTGTGTGTGTGTGTGTGTAACCCCACCACCCCACCACCACCACACACACGCATGCATGCCCATGGAAGGCAGAAGAGAACATCAGATCCCCCGGAGCTATATGTGCTTGGGACCTTCAGATGTAGATGCTGGGAGCTGAGCTCTGGTTCTCTGCAAGAGCTTGTGTCAAGTTGACACAGAACTATCTAGCACAGCAGACATCACTAATCGATCATAGCATCCCCAGGGGTGGGGGATGGAGAACTAAAAACCCTTTGGAAGGCAGTGTGCTGGGGACTCACTATGATTAAAATGAAACTGAACTTCTTGCTTCTGCTAGAGACAAAGATTGGATTAGCTTTACATTCAAATTATGAAGCTTAAGATATCTGAAGCTGGGCACAGTGCTGCCTGTCTTTAATTCTAGCACTTGGAGGGCAGAGGCAGGTGGATCTTGGAAGTTTAAGGCCAGCCTGCTCTACATAGTGTATTCCAGGTCAACCAGAGCTACACAGTGGGATCCTGTCTTAAATATATATTTTACCCATTTTTTCCATATACTACTCAGAAAATCAGGTACATTTTTAATTAATTTCTCAAAAATGTTTTTCCTTGTGACTTTTATGTATTAAATTTAATTAACTTATGGTATGAGTATGCAACAGGATCTTGCTAAGGTTCCCAGGTTGGCCTTACATTTATGATGCTCCTGGCTCAACCTCACAACTATTAACATTACCATACTCACCTTGTGTATTTAATTCTAAATACTTAAAATCAAAATACTGTGATTGGTTTTCAGTTGGCACTTTTCCAACTTCATAATTTTGTAACCATAGAACTACAGGGGAGAAAGAATTCCTATACAGGCCAACTGCACTATAATCGACACGTAGAGCTTCATACATGTCCTTGGTATGTACATTAATATTATAAAGCCGTGCGACCATCATGGGCTCCCTATCCGTCCCACCTTTTTATTTTACACTCGTTTCTCTAAATAATCTGACATCTGGATTGTTGAGACTCAGCTGCAGGTGTGGCCTCTCTAACGCTGCGCTAATAAAACAGTACAGAACTGTCGAGCCCCCTCCCCCCTCCCCCCAGTCTGCCTGGCCAGCCAGGTTTACTGCCAAAGGAGAGGCTGAGTGCCAGCCGGCACATCGCCCTGTTTTTTTTCCTACACGTTATGAGTCCTAGAATCTGGCTGAGAGCTGTGAACCTTCCTGCCTTGCGATTTTGGCACTGCCATGCATTCATCTCCCACGTTTAAAGATTAGGACATGATAGATCTGTGTCTGCTCTCCTTAGAAGTAAAGAGTTATTTAGTGTATTGTTCCCATGCTTCCTGACATGATAGACCATACATATGTATACATACACACACACGCACGCACGCACACACGCATGTGCACACACTTGTTTGTTGAGTGAGTAACTGAGTACTTCCACAAAGTCTTCTGGCCATGACTTCATAGAGCTCTAACTAGCTATTTTGGTAGTAACCGTCCACTGTTGACTTCTGCCTACCCATCAGCCTTAGCTCAGATGCAACTTTCTGTCTCTCATGCCTTTTGAATTCCCTCCACTGAATTAGACGTTCCTTCCATACTGTATACGAGCTACGTGAGGGAGTTTTCATATTCATTTCTGGATTCACCTTAACGTTCACAAGCCCAGCGCCCAGTAGTCGTGAGTGCTCACGCGATGTGTGTGGAATGAGTGAAGAGAACTGGAAACGCAGTTTGTCTCTGTCAAAAGACAAAAATGCAGCCAGTGTAACCAGATGTTTTGGGTTGTGTTCACCTGTCTCGAATCTTATTTATTTAGCAACTTCATTGAAATGCAATTCACATAGTATAAAATTCACTCATTGGGATCTGACTAATGTCTTCTTGCCTCTCACTTGGTATGTGAAGGTCATTTTCCTTTCTGATGGGGAAAGGGGAAGAAAATCGAAGGAGCATGTTGCAGAATCTTAGAAGAGAATGGGCCCTTCCAGCCCCATTCCAGGGCTTGTTTTCCTGTCTCACTTCCCAACTGTGACACCGAGCAAATTTACATTTCTAAGCCCTGGATCCGGATTTATAAAATTTCGCCAGTGCCATATCTTCGTCGAACCCTCTCAGGATGAATTATGACGGCCCCAGTAAAGGATCCAGCCAGAGAGACGGCACTGTGACACAATGCTGGTTCCTTCCCCCGACCCATCCCCTGCTATGCTCGGCAGTCTGTTCTTTCACCATTTGTTCCGAGCAGATTTTTTAAAATGCCCAACCTGCCTGCTTCCTGCATCACCTCCTTCTGCGGGTTAGCTTCCCCGACAATTGATACAGATCTGGTCCCTCCTTCAGCATAGGCTTTTTCTTTCCATCTCTTTTATGTATGTGCCTATTAGAAAGAACACAACCCACCCAAGATCATTACAGAGCCATGGTTTCCTTAATTCCAATTCTCTTTCTTCTTTGCTGAAAGTATTGTAGACCAGAATCTTATTACCCCAAGCCTCTGTTCTTTGAAAATGGCTTTTCCCATAAAAAAAAAAAGAGCTTTTCCCTGTAAGCCTCTTGTCTCAAAATTGCCTATCTTTTCTTTGACCTGCTTCTTCTAAAGTCTGTATTCTCCGTGCCTTGTATTTACAGTCCCCGCTTGTACCGCTTCCCCACGACCCACTGGTTCTTCCCCTGGAGTCACATTACACCAGCCTCACTAATGCATATCGGTTACATATCAGATGGTTTATTATAAAACATTAATTTACTATAAAACATTAAAAAAATAAGCCTGGACACAGGCTCGATTTAATGGAGGGCAAATTGTCTGAGGTTAAGTACAAACTGTTCCGAGATGCGGGGTGAGGGGGACGACAAATATTTATATTCATATTAAATATCTATATATACCTGTTGAGTTTGTGCTTTTTCTAACGCTTCAGAGACCCTCGAACTTGGAAGTGGTTGAGACGGTAAAGGATGGGTTTCCAGAAATTTCGCCCCGAATTAAAAGCTCCACTAAAAAGGCTGCTCCGTGCGTTCAAGTAACACCCACCAACAAAAACCATCTCCACAACCACCAGATTATCTCACCGGCGAGTGAGACTGCAAGGTTTGGGGGATCGACTGTACCACTTTGTGCTTGTGCATGGGGGGATTCGAGGCCGCTTGGCCGTCTTCTTCGCCTTGGCTCTGCCCCTGTTTCCCCTGCTCCAGCTTCCCCAGTGCGTCCGGCCGGCGCTTTATAGGTGCAGCCTGGGCGGCTCCACCGGCTGTTTTTAGGCTTTTTCGGATTGTGGTTGTTCCTGTGGTCCGCAAAGATGCAGCTGAAGCCGATGGAGATTAACCCCGAGGTAAGCGTAGCTGCTGGGCCGCCTTGGGAGCACACGGCCGGGGCCTTTGCTCCGGCCAAAGAGTCGAATCGGATCGCTTTATTATCTTTTCCCTTTTTGCATTTGCCTTTCAGATGCTGAACAAAGTGAGTGGCATGGTGCGCAGCCTCTGTCCCTCTCCCTCGGGAGCATCGTCAGAGACGCCCAGCCGGCCGCGCCCTGCGCAATGGAGGTGGCCGGGCTGGGGCGCCCTGTTGGATGTTTTTTTCTGCCCTGAGTTATTTAGGGATTGGGGGATGACCGAGAGATAGATCAAAGGGAGGTGGTGGAAGATGCACCCGGACAGGAGCAAGCGCGGGGAGCAGCTCTCGAGGGCGTGGCGACTGCCTAGCGGACCCTAGTCCGAGGGCTTCGCGGGAGCCACGTGTGGGCCGAGCTTTGTGCTGTGTCACTGCGCGGCACGGAGGGTGGGATGTCGCGGAGGCTCCTCCTAGACTCGGGTGGGGACCTTTGTGTGTGTCGGGCGGGGGGATGCGCGTCCAGACCCCACCCCTTAGCAGGTGCCCATCACTGTCTGGCTCTTTCCGTCTGGCTGCCCCGTCTCCTCTCTGCAGGTGTTGGCCAAGCTGGGTGTCGCCGGCCAGTGGCGCTTCGCAGACGTGCTAGGGCTGGAGGAAGAGACTCTGGGCTCAGTGCCATCCCCTGCCTGCGCGCTGCTGCTGCTGTTTCCCCTTACTGCCCAGGTAGGGTGAGGTTTGTGATGGGCGGGTCTCAGATGATGAACAGTGCTATGGGACGCGCTCTTAGTCCGCGCTGCCCCCCTTTCCCATGGGGTAGGGAATAAGGATTGCACCTCCTAGGATGGGAGGTGCCTGATTTTCGTGGTACCTATTCATTGGCGCTCCTGTTGCAATGGCCATTATTGGAAGAGATGAAGCGTATTGATCCTGTCTATTTTTCCAGTTACCCAGAGGAACTCGCTTGGTTCCATCCACTTGAGGATGGCTGTGGTTTCCTTTTAAGGTCACTGGTTTTCAGACTCCCACCTGGCTGTAAATTGAAGAGGGCCTGGCTTGCTTAAACCAAACGGTTCCCTTAATTTACCACCTCCATCTGCCTTTCTGGTAGATTCAGGGCTCTTTTCCCCCGTGCTCCCCGCAGCAGGCACACTGTTGAACCAGCTGTTTTAAAGCTGAATCATGGGTGCACAGAATCTTTTCAGCAGCTGTCTCTACCTCTCTGACCTTGTGACTGGATGAAGTCGGTCTGCGGCACAGTCATGGAAACACCCTTGCATTCTTTGAAAAGGTCTTCCGTCTTCCAGTGTTCGGGGATGTATGTGACTCCAACGCTGAGCATCAGATACAAAAACAAAACAGTGGGACATGTGTTGCCTTACCGTGGGTAGAGTCCCTGCAAATCATGGCACCGCCTGTCTCCTGTTGCTGTCAATTGCCCACAGAATTTAGAAGGGGAAGAAATGGGCAAAACTTGGAGGCATTGGCATTGTTAGCCTCACTCTAAATGGGATAAGGTTAAATAAATACCATCCTCAGGGCAGGTGTTCTTGGAGCATTCTGGACCAAAACTAAGCTGTATGGAAAGGGTCTAGGCCTTCCTCCTAGCAAATGGTCTCTCGTGGGTTCAAACACGTAGTGCGGAAGATCTCAGTGACTTGTCTCCTAGTTGAAGCTCTCATTGCAACCCTTGTATGTCAGGCCGGCTTCCTTGACTGCACCAAAGCCGGCGTCTCCTGCTCAATCGAGCGGTTCTGGAGCTGCTCTTGACAGGCCCCATGATGACTTGGAGGTTTTGAGCAGAGCTCAGGCAAGGCCCCTGGGAGGCAGTGGTGCAGCCTGTTTGCTTTCCGCTGTTCACTGGTCGCATTTTGCAGGGTCCAGTGGATCTTTATAGAGAACATCCCAGTTGGACTGACTGCTGTTTTATCCTGCAGCTGTGGTCCAGTCGGCCCCATGTATTGAGTACCTGGTCTGCATATGTCATGTATAAAACACTGAAGAATTTTCAATGGAAATTGAAACTTCGTTCGACTTCCATCCATAAGTTAATTTAAGAGCCATTAGTCCTGACTCTGGTTATGTTGGGAAACCCTAAATGAACGTCTTAATTCATTTTGTGGTGGTGAGATTGCTATAGAAGCGTCTCTGAACAGGAGCACAAACAGCTAAAGGGCGGGGCTAGTCTGTTTCACAACTGTAGCTGATTAGCCTTGAAAGGCGTGCAAACCCTTAGCAGTAACTAGGATGCCAGAACATCTTAAGTGGCGGTTCAGTTCATCTTGTGGGACAGACAATCCTGCTCCCGTTCTAGAGCCACGGAGTAAACGCTCACTCCACTTCCATGTACAGTAAACGCAAGGCTACTAGACTCCGATCAGGCTGGCCAATGGGCTGGGTGACTTCTGCAGGCTGTGGGCAGTCAGCGTCTCCCTAGCAGGAGCACCTGCTTTTAATTGACAATTCCTAACTGCTCAGGGCTTTCAAACTCGCCAGTGAGAGGAATACAGTCTCCTGAGTCATTGCACAAGAAGCGGCAATGACTTGAGTAAATGCCGTTCATATGACAGCGTCTCTCTAAGATTGCTACCATTCTCCTCTCTGGTTAGACTCTGCCCTGCTGTATTGCTGGCAACGATAAACCAGTACCTTGACTTCCTCTTATAAAGTGAAAAGGTTTTTTTGTTTTTTTTTAATCATTACCCATTCCTTGTACTGATGCCTTTCTAAAACAAAACAAAGGGGAAAAAAAGTCCTTGCCTCCACTTGCCCCTTTCAGCGGTTAAAGCCTGTTTAAATACATCCACTCGCACACAAATGGAACAGTTACAGAACAGGGAAACCGACGCCAGCTGGTGTTGCCCCTAGGTGTTGATCAACGGTTGATGAGGACACCTGTATGAAATAGACATTGTTCTTGAGGAAGGGAGAAAAACCCTGAGCGGGGCTCTTTCCGGATCGCCTGATACCTCCAGCTAAAGGTTGCTGTGGTGTCTAGACAGCCTTGGGCACCATCCAAGGCAGTACCTGCACTGCAGCATCAGGGTGGAGCCCCGCAGCCTGCCTGGGGAGGGGAGGGAGACAGGACTGTTCTCTGGGCATCAGCCAGCATCTAGAACCGTGGCTGCTGCTCCTGGTCGCCCATCCACTGCACATATCTTTAGAACTGACTGGACTGCCGTGTGTTTGCATTTTGAGATGAAAAAAAAAAACCCTTTTGTCCCCCCTATTCACAGCATGAGAACTTCAGGAAAAAACAAATCGAGGAACTGAAGGGCCAAGAAGTTAGTCCTAAAGTGTACTTCATGAAGCAGACCATTGGAAACTCTTGTGGTACCATTGGGCTGATCCACGCAGTGGCCAATAATCAAGACAAGCTGGAATTTGGTACTTGGGGCTTAATAATTTGGACATCTGCTATTTTTAAAACATTTTTGTTTTCAATGGTGTGGGTGTGTGCCATCGCATGCCTGTGGGGGTACGTACAGCTCTGTGGAGCCCTTTCCTTCCACTTGGTGGAGGTTGGGGGAGGGCTGAACTCGGGCTATCTAGCTTTTTAAACTTGAGATGTGGGGTTCAGAGAGTTCGCAGCTTAACGGTTACAGTTTATTTCAGCACTAGGTAAGCACAGACACACATGATGGGGCAGGACAGGCTCTCACTGTAATTCTGGCTTGCCTGGCTGGTCATGAACTCAAGGTGATCCCTTTGCCTCGGCTGCCTGCTGGGGTTTACAGGCGTGTGCATCTACACCTGTCTTTATAGTTGTTTGAAGCCTGTTAAATCACACAGACTACTCACCTGGATCCAGTCCCACGAATGGAGTTTTGCTGTTTCTCTTTGG